GACGCTGACACCTACTGTGTTCCTGGTCTGTACAAGGTGTACTAATGCTGAGCACCTCCATGCTAGGTTCTAGAAATACACTACTGTTGGTATAGCTCTTATTGTTTTATATTTTTATTGTATATATTTGATGTGTGCAACATAATATTTTAGCACACACACAGTGAAATGGTTAGCACAGTCAAACCATTAACATATCCACCATCTCACCTCATTAATCCCACTTTTTTCTGACAAGAACACCTAGAATCTGTTCCTTTAGCAAAACTCCTGACAGCAACACCGGATCATTAAGTCTGGTCCCTGTGGGCACTTCCGCTCTCTGCACCCATCCACCTTACATATCTGCCGCTGCCTCCTCTGACCTACCTGCCCCGTTTCCCTCCCCCATGCTGACCATGACTTAGAAAAACAAGCTGATTTTGGTTCAATGGAACTTCAGTTTGATAATATTTTGTAAAACATAAAAAGAGTAGAGAGGCAAATGAACAGGGTCTAGATGTCTCAACCTGAGTCTCCGTATCTGCTGTCTCAGGGAGGTATTCGTGTTTTCAAAAAGGTTCAGAGTCAAGGATGGTTCCACGTCTCACTGCCTGAATGACAGGATTTTTTTGTACTATTTCAGTTTGTATAAGGATATTCGTCCCACTATAACACGCTAGGTTGTTAGAAGAAATCGGTAAGTTAAGGTTAGACAAGGTACTTTATATGTCACAAAGTATCATAAAAAGTGTTACTGCATCTTTACCAACCAACGAATGCACAGCCAGCACTATGTCACCAACAGTTTATCTCAAGTTTCTACCATTCTTAGAGGATTGTCAAGTCTCTGAATTTCTTAGATTTCTAAGATGCTTTTATCTCCCTAATGGGAATAAACTACCAGACTAAAAAGCTAATTGGCATATGATGGGAAAGGGAAAGTATAGTAACTACTGCAAAGAGAAGGGGTGCAGGTGCGCAGGGCTCTGGTGGGGACACGGGGCTCTGGTGGGGACACGGGGCTCTGCTGGGGATACAGGGCTCTGGTGGGGACACGGGGCTCTGGTGGGGACATGGGGGCTCTGGTGGGGACAC